ACACGGTCGTGCTCGGGCCCTAATAATAATAATCTTAGCAAATTCAATAGGGACATCACACGGTCGTGCTCAGGCCCTAAATATATATAATCTTAGCAAATTCAATAGGGACCTCACACGGTCGTGCTCGGGCCCTAAATATATAACCTTAGCAAATTCAATAGGGACCTCACACGGTCATGCTCGGGCCCTAAAAACATAATCTTAGCAAATTCAATAGGACCTCACACCGTCGTGCTCGGGCCCTAAAAATATATAATCTTAGCAAATTCAATAGGGACCTCACACGGTCGTGCTCGGGCCCTAAAAATAACAGCCTGAAAGGAAAGTAGCAGCCATACCTGCCAGAGGGTTCAATGTAGAATTCATCCTGAAAGTCAATTTGGACAGCTTCTCCGTTAGGCACAGTTACCACCCAGACACAGTCAATGTTCTGGGGGTAGTTCAGAGGATAATTAGGTGAAGTGATATACCCGGGAGGATCGTTGTCATTCAGCTCTATGAAGCCTCCACATGCTGCGGAAACAGAGAAAGAATAACTTTGCAATATTGACCAGCATCAACCTTGATAGTAAATACATAGTTTTAAAGTGGTATCAATGGTATAGAAACAACGAGCTTCAGGAAGAATGTGAATTGCACTGCACATACATCTCAGAAGAGAGAAATTTCATGTGATCAGCTGCAATGTGATTGAGGAGAAGGTTAAAGTGCAACCGATTACAGCAAGCCCACAACCAAATCAAATGACTGAAAAGGAAACCCTTCTAACTTCAGATGAGCTCAGGCAAAATCGAGATAACTGCGTCCACCCAACAAAAACAACTAATCATGCTCTATGTTTTGGAACTACAGATCCCGAGTTTGCTTTCGGGATATAAACAAGATGTAAGAAGTCATATTAGTGATGTGTAAATTCTTAGAGCATTATAGTCTAAATTGTTATTAATTATTAGAGCAATAATAGTCTACATTGATATCGTTTAAAGTGTTATTTTTTATCTTAATCATAGTTATGTTATAGTTTGATTATTATTGCCTTAAATGATGGGGTTATTGATCTAAGGTTGAATCATTCCCACCCCAGGAATTTAGGAATGTAGAAGCTAAAGTTAAGATCACAGTGTTAAAACTCAACAAGGACCTGTGTGTGTTTGTGTGTGTGTGTGTGTGTGTGTAAGCAGGCATGTGTGCTGTTGGGCAGAGGTAGAGAAGGACACACAGCAGAGAGGGGAAGCATTGTAGCCAGGCTAAGAATGCAACAGTCATAGTGAAAATAATAATCCACCAAATGCTGAAAGGTCAGAAAATGAAAAATCTGGGATTTTTACCAGATCCAGGCAGAGCAGGAAAGAGAGCCAAGAAATCTCTTGGCTCTCTTTCCTGCAACAAAAGGAGGTCCAGAAGAAGTTGAAAGTCAGTTGTTACATGGCTTCATGTCAACTCTGGTCTCTGTTCTGGTAACAGAATGGGGCTCTATTTTACATCAATCTCTGACCCTCTCCTGTGAAACTTTTGTACTCTAAGTGGTGTCTATTTCTGTTGAGAATAAACATGTTGGTAAAAGTTCAAGATTTTTTATCTGGCCCAAGTCTTGAATTTTTCACATGACAGTAATTTGTAGGATTTTTACTGGTTTATTCGCCAGGGACCTGGGGTCTCATTTAGCAAAGGTTGTGATCAATACCCTCCACGCAAACTCTGAGGCATGCATACGCTCAGAAACTGGAGAAATCAGAAATGGTGACTCACATGGCAGAAGGATGAAACGTTTCAAATAGATACTATTGTGTAAAATAAATTGAAATATTACCTCTGATTATTATAGGCCAATAAAACTTAATAATTTAAGATTATATGATTATATGTTCATTTGCAAAACAGATGAAAGACTTTATGACTTATGTACTATACTTATGTAACTTGTGTTGCAATACTAGTTTGTGAGGCTTAGATAAGAGGAAGTTGTGTTGACACAAACACATACCATACATGGTGATTCAATCATCCACACCCAATCACAAGCACACACATCCATATCACTAATCACACGGACACACAGACACACCACTCTGGGTACAGTTACCTCTATAAATTGTCAGGCTGCATAGGAAGAGACAGACTCCTCTGCTTACTGCTTCAGAGTAGACTCTGTGTTGGTGTGAGGAGTCTCCAGATATATATCTGCAATTGCTTTTGGTTTGGTAATAAAGGTCTCGAAACTTAAGGCACTGTCTCATCTGATCTCTTCTCATCAACGGACCCGGTGAAGTCGACGTACTTCAACACCACCCGTTTGATTGATTTTCCCTGAATTTAGAATTATATCAATTAATGCATGCAGTGCAATCTATTCTCATACTTAAGGTGAACAGTAGGACAAATTACATTTAAACTGATGCCATTTTCCTTGACTCAGTTGAGCAAATATGAGCGCAGATATTCGTTGCTTTATTGTAATGAAGCCAAACACTGTTCACCAGCGTGTGGATGTGATGTGCTGCTTGTAAAAACACGGTATGGAAAAAATGTAACACTATTAATTGAGTGAATCTTTCAGTGTATCGTTTATGTCACATAAGTCATATTTCTTTTAACTTATCGGCAGCCTCGTTAACTGAGTGTTTGTGTAAACACAAATGGAATGCACTTGGTTTACTCTCTTTTCAAACAAGGGAATCCAAATGATGTACCTGGGTCATCCAGTGTGTGTGAGTGAATTTATGTGTCCCCCTCCCAAAACGGTTACTATTCAGGAGGGACACGTCTTTCTGCAGATCCGTTATCAAGGGGGCTGAGCTTTGGTGCCCCCTTTTCTCCAAGCACTGCGTGTATGTGTGTTTTACCAACCAAACAACATAATTTTTCTTGCTTCAACATCACCAAAAACAATGTCAGTGTCACTATGGGTTAAATTTCTTTTTTAGCTTTTCTGTCAGAATTTGCCGTCCTTTTCTACATGTAGTCTGTACATATTTATATTAATGAGGGGCGTTTCACTGACCATTTATAGGCAACTATTGGGGTTTAAAGGATTGGACAAGGAGCTGGCTCACATGCGCCAAGTTTCAAGTTGATTGTTATTTATAAAGGGAAATCAACGTTGGATGTGCATGTACTGTATTATAAATCGAGTAGTAAATAGTTACTAATGTAACTACGGTTCTATGAATTCTGGATGACAGCCAGACGGCGGAGCTTTAGCACTGGATGTCTCCATCTCGCATTTGCAGGTTGAGTAATTATACCAACAAAGTCACTTGTGGTCATGCGATGACGTAGGGCGCACGCCCCAGTACAAACCCCTCAAGTCATCATGCAATCTGTTCCTACAGAATCTTCTCGCCCAGATTCCGAGTGACAGACAACTCTGGCGGTCATCCAGAATTCAAAGAACCGTAGTTACATTCATAACTCTTGTTCTATTTCATTCTTCCTGACCGCCAGACAGCGGAGCTTTGGCACTGGATGACTTATACCAGGAATGCCACCGCGTGGGGAGCAGCCACATTTACCCGGTAATAGTGAGCGAAGGTACATGAAGACTCCCAGCTTGCGGCAGTACAGATGTCATGCAGAGAGACCCCTCTCAGGACCACCCAGGATGTGGACACACTCCGAGTAGAGTGACACTTTACTAGGTGCAGGCAGGCCATGCGACCTATAAGCGTGCATAATCACATCCACAATCCAATTGGAAAGTCTCTGCTTTGATAGAGCTTCACCTTTTCTACAACCCCCATAGCAAACAAAAAGGTTGTCAGACTTGCGTACTTCGGCAGTGGCCTCCACATAAGCCTTTAGGGCCCGAACTGGACACAGTAGCTGTGACAGTTCTTCCGTGTCTTCAGATGAGCCGAGTGGACTGAATGCAGTACCAACGGAGGCATCTCGGGCTCACTGATAGGGCATGCAGTTCTCCCACTCGCTTTGCTGATGTGACAGCAAGCAGAAATGCTGTATTAGCAGACAACCACCTCAACTCTGTGTGTCCTAGCTGTTCATATGGGGGCAGACCCAAGGATCTCAAAACCACCTTCAAGTCCCATGGTGGCACTACAGTGACACCTGATGGTCTAAGCCTCTGTGACTGACTAAACAGATAGTGTGACCCCACTGTGCGGTTGTCCACTCTCACGTGCCCCGCTGAAATGGCAGCTTCATACACTTTCAATGTTGAGGCGCACCTGCCGCCATCCAACAACAACTGCAGGAAACACAGAATGCTGGTAACTGAGCAGTTGAACTGATCACTGACTGGTCACAAGATGCCAGGAGTGGGTCCTGGCTTCGACCAGGCAGACACACAGCTGAAGGGGGTCTGGATTCGGATGCCATATGCGTCCCCCCAGCTGAGAGAGAAGGTCCGGTCTCTCATGGCTCCCCACTGAGCAACCTCAGAAGCACTGGGAACCATGGCCTCCCCGGCCAGCTGGCAGCCACTGGCAGCAGTTTGTGGCCTCCCTGTCGGACCCTCTCCAGCGCCACCCGAATGAGTGAAGGAAAGGCATACAGAAGGCACGCTGGCTACGCATGAGCTAAGGCATCCTGCTCTAAAGGACCAGTCCTCTCCCTTAGAGAGTCCCAGAGGGGACAATGGTGTTGATGTTTCTGAGGCAAAGATATCCACTTCTGCCTTGCCATATTGGCTCCAAATCATTTCCACCACCTCTTGGTGGAGTCTCCAGTCTCCCTGTGGCGGCCCCTGGCGGGACAGCACATCTGCCGCACTGTTCTGTGTGCCCGGGAGATGTATGGCCCTGAGGCTCAGAAAGTGGGGAAACGCAGGTGCTGTCCATCCGGATGACAACATGCCGGCCTTTCAATGCTGGGAGAAAGTGCCACAGTGCCAGATGTATTGCTCTGAGCACAAGCACATTTATTCAATTAAATTTTATTTATATATTTTTTATGTGCTTTAACTTCTTGGCTGCTCCATCGGCCCCTGATGGTTCCGCGCTGCCAGACTGCACCCCAGCCTGATAAAGAGGAGTCTGTCTCCACGGGGAGGGGATCACTCCCAGAGGAACCCCCCCCCCCCCCCCCCCGGCAAGATGCATTTATCTCTTTAACTCTGACGCCCCTGCACCACTTGGGATCCAAGTGGAGACCGTTGACCCAGATTCGAAGAGGACGTGAAGACAGAAGACCCAGAGGGATGACCATGGACGCTGCTGTCAGCATGCCCAGCAGCCTGAAAAAAAGGCCATATTTCAAAATCCTGCCCCTCTGAAAGCAACCTAGAAGCTGCCGGATATCCCGCACTCTCTTTGGGGTAAGGAAGGCTCTCATTAACTGAGAGTCGAGTGACATACCCAGGTAATTTACCCTCTGACTGGGTGTAAGCTTGCTCTTTGTGTAGTTCACCGTAAGGCCCAGCTGGTTCACATGGCCAAGGAGCATATCTGCGTCCCTGACCGCCTGCTCCGCAGTTGGGGAAATGATTAGCCAATCGTCCAGGTAAAGCAAGATCGTCAACCCTGCGGCTTGCATCGGGGAAAGGGCGGCTGCCATGC